ACAATATATACCAAACAATATAATATATGACCCTGTCCTGAAGGGTCATTGTGAATCGGCATCAACTCAATGACAGAGTTTTTTGTTGTTGCCTATAATTATTAAAATTTATATTCTTATGCTCATATTGGACATTAAATTACTATCTTTGAAATGAAAATCAAGTTACTTAAAAATAATCGAATAACTTTCCTCTTCAGAAATTCACTGTCATAGATTTGATTCTGACTCACAGCAACCCTGTAGGGCAGTACTGAACTGCCCCTGTGGGTTTCCAAGACTGATAGCCTCAACTTTCTCATGAGGAGCAGCTGGTGGTTTCAAACTGCTGACCTTGTGGTTAGCAGCCCAATGTATTAACCTGCTATGCCACCAGGGCTACAAATAAGTTTCCTGGATTATTTTTATTCCTACTTAGATGATTTCCAAACAATACATTCAACATTTTAGATGGTCCTTGAACGAGCATTTAGACAGCAGAGCCCGTTTTGCCTGCAAATCACATCCAGGACTGCACCCTCACCCTCTGGGGGGGGGGGATCAGAAACCATTCAGGAACTAGAATGATGTGTGTTTTGTCGGTACTATACTGCACCTTGGTTGAATCATCCCTTCCTATAACCCTTTGGTCAGGGGATATCCAATTGTCTATAGATGGGCTTTGGGTCTCTACTCCAACCCCTGTCGTTTGCATTGATATAGTTGTTTGTTTTGGATATTTTGATACCTGATACTGGTGACACCTCATGATCACAAAGGCTGGTGTGCTTCTTCCATATAGGCTTATTTGCTTCCCTGCTAGATGACTGTTTGTTTGACTTCAAGTCTTTTAAGACACCAGATGCTATCTCTTTTGATAGCCAGGCACCATCCACTCTCTCCACCACATTTGCTTATGTACCCATTTTGTTTTCAGTGATCATGTCAGGAAGGTATATCAAGAGTATCAAAGAGTGCCAGATTATTAGAACAAAGTGCTCTTATGTTTAGGGAGGCCTTGAGTAGAGGCCCAAAGTCTTCCTGCTATCTTAATACTTAACATATAAATATCTGTACATTGGCCTCTATTCCTTTCATTATAAATTAAGATATTTACACATATGCATGCCTATATAGCTACACCTCTATAAATAGCTTTTGCCTCCTATTTATTTCCTCTATTTCCTTTCACCTTCCTCCTATTCCACTATCATGCTCACCCTCCATTTGGCCCTCAGTAATTCTTCTCGGATACATTACACTTGATTAACCCCCACCAGGCATTGTATGCCTCCTTGCCATCAATTTTAGATCTCCTGTTGTTCCCTTATCCCTGAGTTTGTTGGCTCCCCACTTCCACTCCTCACCCTCTCCTCTCCCATATCCCCTCAGAACCGCTGGTCCCACTGATTTCTCCTTGGGATTGTTCGTCCTACCTATCTTATATAGATAGACATAGAGTAAAAGAAAAAGAAAAACAAACAAACAAACAAACAAACCAAATCAAGAAAAAAACCCCAGTAGATAGTTCCAGGGCTGTCTGTTGATCCTTATGTATGTTTTATGATCAAGTATGATGAGGTGTCAAAGCCCTGTTCCCCAAGTCAGAAGTCTATTTTCAGGATTCCTTGGGAACTTACTTACTTTTCTCTGCTTGCTGCCCTTTGTGTTTCACCCTGCTTTGCATGGGGCAGACCTGGCACACTTTCTGCACAGTGTCTCCAGTGCTGTCCCCCATTGGCTGGACTATTTTAACCCCAAACTCACTACCAATGGATTTGTGATCAGGATATACAATTACAAAATAAACAGTAAAGTATAGAAATAGACTCACATTAAGAGAAAAATAAAGGGCTACAGAGGGCAGAAATGCAGGTGGGATAACTGGCATTTCAGAAACAAAAAAAGATAAATGGATGGCATGAAGTATTTGAGGAGAGATTTTCTATAATTAAAAAAATATAAAAGAATGAAATTGGGAAGGTTAATAGAATATCAAACAGTCAATAAAAGGAAAAACATGTAATTCTTAATTTTTCTGACATTAGGTAATCTAACCAAATCGACCAAAACATTCAAAATAATAGGTTAATGAATTAATACTGCTGTGCGAAAAATAATGTCAAAAATACTGTATTGTATGATCCGGTTTATCATTTCATTTCCGGGGGAGAGAATACTAGTGAGAGAGAAGTCGACTGGAAGAGGAAGGGGAGACATGGGCATCAGGAGGAGTTCCTTTTCTGGAAATGTCTTCTAAAGAAAAAATTGCGGGTATTACAACTACTTAGTCATAAGTATGAGAGGATATTTAGGAGAACACACCCTAAAATTTTGGAGTATATGGTAATAAAAAATTAATTCAGTGGAAATAATTTAGATGTCCCAACAGTATATAACAGTACACAGCTGACCCTTGAACAACAGGTTAGAACTGCAAGGGTCCACTTATATGACGAAATTTTTAAGTAAGTATATTGGAGATTTGTGATAATTTGAAAAAGCTCATCTATGAATTGTACAGCCTAGAAATAAAAAAAGTTAGGTATTCCATGAATGCACAAAATGTTCATATATATGTAGTAAATATATTTCACAACTTACTATCATAAAATATATAAATTATTATAAACAATTTATCAAATATACACATAAACTAAACACATTCACAGTCAAGATAAATGTACATAAAAAGATGCAGTATTAAATCCTAACTGTACAAGCTAACTATAGTGTACATACAGTATTACTGTAAGAATTCTGTAGCCATTTCCTATTGCTATTGTGGTGAGCTCAAGCACTCTGAGTATCCACTTTAAAGAGTTTGTGACACTAGTCATTTCTGTGGGAGCAGTTTCTCTCCAGTAAATTGTGTCATGCAGTAAAAAATGATTTCTTGCAGTTCTGTGTACGTTTTTTGGTGTTCACTGCAGTACTATCAGCCTTTCACCATAAACCATTGGAAGTGCCACTAGTGATGCTGGCAGTGCTTCTAAGAAGCAGAGAAATTAATCCAGTGTAAGGACCACTGTAAATAAAGAAAAGGCAATTGGTGATGTCATTGCTGCAGCTACCTCCAGCAGGTGCAGGAAACATGATACTTTTAGCAAAATATCTGTTTATCTCGTATTGCAATGCAGCTTTTACAAGGGTACAGCATAATGCATATAACATAATTCTGGTGAGTAGTAGACTATCAGTAGGTAAGTTTTTGGGCGGCCAAAAGTTATAAGCTTATTTCAACTTCCCCTAACTTCTGTGTTGTTCAAAGATCAACTGTTAATAAAAATGACTATACAATATATACCAAACAATATAATATATGACCCTGTCCTGAAGGGTCATTGTGAATCGGCATCAACTCAATGACAGAGTTTTTTGTTGTTGCCTATAATTATTAAAATTTATATTCTTATGCTCATATTGGACATTAAATTACTATCTTTGAAATGAAAATCAAGTTACTTAAAAATAATCGAATAACTTTCCTCTTCAGAAATTCACTGTCATAGATTTGATTCTGACTCACAGCAACCCTGTAGGGCAGTACTGAACTGCCCCTGTGGGTTTCCAAGACTGATAGCCTCAACTTTCTCATGAGGAGCAGCTGGTGGTTTCAAACTGCTGACCTTGTGGTTAGCAGCCCAATGTATTAACCTGCTATGCCACCAGGGCTACAAATAAGTTTCCTGGATTATTTTTATTCCTACTTAGATGATTTCCAAACAATACATTCAACATTTTAGATGGTCCTTGAACGAGCATTTAGACAGCAGAGCCCGTTTTGCCTGCAAATCACATCCAGGACTGCACCCTCACCCTCTCCTTTGGTCCTGAGCACACAGTACAATCTACACCACAGAAAGTGAGAGATTCAGATTTCTAGCTTAGACAAGAGACAGATGAGCGTGGAGAAAGGTCATATAATGTCTGAGTACAAATGAAGGCATGTTTGAAAGTGTCAAAGGAAGGGAGAAATTATTCTAATGAAAGGAATGAGGACCTACCTGTGCTGTTTTCTTTCCCTGTCTAATTCATTACTGAACCATTAAGCCTGCAAAACAGCGAACAGGCTCAGGTCTGTTCCCATGTCCCTATTAACACTTACTTGGTCTAATTTACCCTTAGCCTTACTTACCCTCAAAGCCAGTCACCCGAGTCTCCGGGGTATTGCACTGCTCTCGGTGCTGTGACTGTGGATTCAGTGCCTGTTTCATTCCTACCTCAGAGCCCCCAAAAGACCGTCATCTTGGACCCCCCAGGGCTTATTCACTAAGTACACATCGCAGCTTTCCAGGCCTCATGCGCCCCTCTTATATCTTGGCAAAGAAAAGTTGGAAGTCATACCTGGTGGGGTTTCTTTTATCTTCCTCAGAGATTAAAAACCAAACAAAATCTGCATAGCTCATTCTTCCTTCTTCCTGTACTGTTTTTCCCCTGGGAGCAGAGAGAAGCAGAAGAAGACAGTGCTAATAAAATTTGTTGAACAGTTATTTGGAAAAACGTAGTAGGATGCTGCTGTTGTTGGGTGCCGTGGAGTCAGTACTGACTCATAGCCGCCACATGTTACACAGAGCAAAACACTATTCTGTCCTGAGCCCTCCTCGATCAGCACTGTTTGAGTGCTTGTTGCAACTAGTAAATCAATTAAGGAAGTAACAGGTTACATAATTCAGAATAAGGAAAGCTCAAGATACAGTTCTTGGGTAAGTATAGCCCTCTCTGAGGCATGCCCAGAGGAAGGCCTTTCTCTGGTCCTTGGCTCCTTGGACTTTTGGGGCAGGCCTGGTCTCTAACATGCTGAAGAAACTGTCAGAAAGTTTTTCAACTCTGCCCATAAGTGCCTGGAGGCACTGTACTCTTATCAGCATGCTTCGCTTTGTGGGCTACACCGAGCAGTCTGTCTCCGGGTTCTACTGCTCCTATTTCTCTCACCGCTTCTTGCTGTTTTAGCTGTTTCCTGGATCTAGGAGGTTCCCAGTAAAGGGACCTAGGGTCCAAAGAATGTGCTCCACGTAGTCTCTTCTTCACCTTAAATGAACAGTCACACCCGGGCATTCAGTGGTAGTTACAAGAAAGGCCATATAAAAGACCCATCACACTGTAAAGGCATGTCTTGTTTCCAGAGGTTAGAGGGTAAAGCCAGGAGGCATTTGAAAATCAGAAGGAAATAAATCTGGCCTCTAATTTGAAGTGCAAATAATTAGCAGGATCACAAACTGTTAACTTTATTTAAATGTAAGACTAATATATCTTAATCACTCTCCTGTGTTAAGACATATGTATTTTCTTTATTACTTGACCCAGTATTTCTGTCAAAATACGGGAGAAGTATTGCTAAAATGAGATTGTTAAAATATTGATAATTTTTAAGTGCCAATGAGGCTTCTTACCTTGTTACTGCTCCAGAGAATATCCTTTCAATAATCCTGTTTGATGAGGCTAAAGGTAATAAGAAATTACAGAGCTATTAGAAACATGCACCATGAAGGTCATACTTTTGGCAAATTTCTTTTCACTATCTATAAGCTAAAGCACAGCAATCTTCCATGATGAGAATTAATAGTTAAAACAGGTAAGAAAAAAAAAATGAATAGCCGAACTTTTATTTATGTATAATTATGATTTTTGGAAGAACTTGAGGTAGTTATATACATGAATATACAAAGGGCTTCAAAACCTTTGTAGAAAATGAAATGTATGGGATTTGTATTAATCTTATTACTCATCATGAACAAGAACAGAAATTCCTCTATACAAGACAAGTTTTATTCTAGGAGGGGAACTGATTGTACAGTTCCTAGTATAGGGTCTTGGGGTAAAAATATGGGTGGTTGGTTTGTAGAAGACTATGGATGACAGTGGAAGGCCAAAATCCATTTGCAGGGTCCTTCCATGCATTAAACGTCCAGTGAATCCCCTCTGATCATAGTCCAGGGATGTGAATAGCCTTGCTATCAGACAGAGAACATTGCAAAGTCGATTATAACAGATGCAGTTTACAGTTAAAATGTAACAACGTATCATTTGACCAATTTTTAAGTTGTTTCAGTTTCTAACATTTTCTGCTTATTTTTCGATTTAGGGTTTTCTGTGTTTTGTTGTTTTTGGTTTGTTTCTTTTATAAGATTTTCTGTATATAAAATTCAGGATAGGTAAATCTATAGAGGCAGTAACTGGATGAATAATTACTTAGGCATGGCAGGGGAGGTTGGGGGGAAATGGGGAGTTAACAACTAGTATAAGAAATTTTAAAAATTTCTGAAATTGATTGTGGTGATGATTGCACAATTCTGCTTATTATGGTTGAACTATTAAATTGTATGATATGTGAGTTATATGACAACAAAACTATTAAACAAAACAAAACCATTGCAGATACAGTACATATAAAATGTGTGTAAATGAACTCTACATACAGAAAAAAAATAAATAACATGGTAGGAAAAAAAGGAATATGGGTGGTGCTTTCAAGTAGACTTCTACAAAGGATAACAAAGACGCCATCAACATCCTTTTCTTGTATTCCCATTTTTATATAAGTCCAGGATATAACACAGGGTTTAAAAATTCCTTAAGTAGGTTTGGTTCAAGGAAAGAGATAAATATATCCTAAGATAATATGGTGCTTTTTGATGATCGGGACTAGTGCTGGATCCTTGAGACTACAGCAATATACCTCACTGTAAGGTCAGAATAACTAAAGGCATTATTAGTTAAAGAGAGAAAGAAAGAGATGCCTGGGGACTTCAGGCATTGGGATAGGGTGCAGGATGGAATCTATACTTTAAAAAGTGCCTCTGGCAACAGATGCACACTGAACTGTCAAGTCATTGGAGAATTAGCAGCTGTCCACATTGAACTCTTCTGCAGAGTGAGGTACCCAACCCCACTACCACTGACTTCACTCCAACTGGTATAGAGCTGCTAGGGAAAAGGAGAACGGCCCCATAGTTTCCAAGGCTGTAATATTTAGGGAAGCAGACAGCCACATTTTCCTGGTAGGCTTGGACCATTGACCTTCTAGTCAGCAGCCAAGTACTTAAACCTTGTGTGCCAGGAGTTAAATACAGACAACAGAAAGGTAAATTAGTTTGGCCGAAGAAAACTAGAGCTGTGTCAGTACAGTCACACCTGGAAATATACCAAAGCTTGGCACATAGTAAAGTCTGGGTGCATACAGACCTCCTCGATTTTACTGTGCACTGGTTTGTGGTGTTAATAATTTATACGAAGTTAACAAAAAGAGAAGTGCATAGGCAAGGAAAGGATATTGAATGCCAAACTAAAGTTATCTGAACCCATGAAAAGATTTAGCCTCCTAAAAACTGAAGGTCCTTGCTCAGCTGGCCTATAAATTAAGGACAGGTTAGTGATTGGGCAATTATGTGCAAGAGCTTCATAATGCAGACCAAGAAGCCTACTTTTATGGACTTCATCCCACCAGTACATCATATTGAAGTGATCTGTTTCTGACAGGTTATAACCTTGAAAGATGAATGAGCAATTCTACTCCACATATGGTGTCACCGTGAGTCAGATTTAACTCGATGGTAACTGAGTGGTGTGGCCAACGTGTTGGGTTGATGGTTCCAATCCACCAGCTGATCGGTGGGAGAAAGAAAAGCCAGCCTGCTCCCATAAAGATTTATAGTCTCAGAACCCTATATCATGTTACTATGAGATCTAACGGACTTGATGGCAATGGATTATATTCATAACTATGAAGGAGCCCCGCTGGAGCAGAGGTTCAAGAACTTAGTTGCTAACTGAAAGGATGGTGGTTCAAAACAACCACATAGTGTTCACATAGGACAAAGTTGGGGTAGTCTATCCCATAAAGATATACCACATTGGAAACCCCAAGGGGCAGTTTTGCAATGCCCTGTAAGGTAGTTATGGGTCAAAATTCACTTGATGGCAGTGGGTCTGTTAATTTGGTTAAGGTTATTCAAAGAGCCCAGAGAGTCGTGCATGACCCTCAGAGCCAGGCTCATGCTAAACGAGATCATCTGTCCACTGGTCACCGGGAATGGGGAGGTGCACAGCTCATAACACTGCCCTATACCCCTATGAATACCTCATTTTCTTTCAATCATTTTATTGGGGGCTCATACAACTCTTATCACAATCCATACATATATCAATTGTGTAAAGCACATTTGTACATCCGTTGCCATCATCATTCGCAAAACATTTGCTCTCCACTTAAGCCCTTGGCATCAGCTCATTTTCTCTCTCCTTCCCCCTCCCCCCTCCCTCATGAACCCTCGATAATTTATAAATTACTATTTTGTCATATCTTACACTGTCCAACATCTCCCTTCACTTACTTTTCTGTTGTCCATCCCCCAGGGAGGAGGTTATATGTAGATTCTTGTAATCGGTTCCCCCTTTCCACCCCACCCTCCCTCCATGAATATCTCATTTTCTTAGGATGCTTGCCATTAGTCACAGACATACAAAACAACAAAAGCAAAATTCAACATTTACTTAAGACAGTACTCTGCTCTATTTACAAGGTTAAAAGGCTGCTTTAAACACTGCTCTGAGAAAACTTTTAAGGAGCGAACGGGATGACCTCATGAGAGAAAAAGACTTTATGAGGTTAAGTAAAGAAGTATTGCTACAAATGAGAAACCTTTATTAAACAAAAACATTAAAATGTGAAGCTGTTATTTTTTGGCATGTCTTGTATCTGAAGGTGGTGGTTCTGTCTCTAACATTTCGCTGAAGAATTCTGTGCGCTTCTATTTAGACCACACCAAAATGGCAACTTTGTTGTCCTCAAGGCTCATATCGTGTTCCTTTAAATGTTCTTTGAGTTTGGGGAAGGAAAGGTTTGCAGGGGGCAGAGCAGAGCTGTCGTGTGGATGGGATGAGGTTTCCAGTGAAATTCCGGGAGGGCAGTCCTTGCCACCTTCAAAGAGTGTCTGGTGCCTTGTGATGGAAAAAATTCATCAGCACAAATTTCCCGGTCCTTTTCTCACCAATCCAGTTTTCCACTTTCAGAAAAACTTTTCCTAATAGGGAGAAAGAGGAAGCTTTCTATCTTGTAAAGATTTATAGCCAGTTTCTGGCATCCCTCATAGAATCATTAGGAGTTGGGAGTTTGTTCTACTTTTTTTGGTTTCTTCCTAATAACCCCCCCATGATTGTCCTGGGTCTTTTGGGAAAATCTATCAAGATTACCCCTGGAATGAAAAAAAAAAAGCAGTTGTCATAACTTTCTGAGCTGATCTCTGCCTTGAATTTCACTGGCTCAGCTGATCTCCTTGGAAGCCGCTGCTTTGATTGGACCTTTTTTGAACACACCGTAATGGGACTGAGACAAAAGCCATCCACTGACCGCAGAGGCATGCTCAAACATGTTTAAAAAAAAAAAAAATAAACCCATGCATGTATGAATTGGAGCCATAGTAGGCAATACTTTTTAATTTGCTCTTGTATATATAGTACTTAGCTAGAATATTAAATCATAAAGGCAACAGGTTCTAAGTTTACAATGGGCAAAAATAAGTAAAAGAGTAACATCAAGTGATAGGCAATTTTATTTTCTAACCAAAGAAAGCACACAAAATTTATCTTAAAAAAAAATCTTTTCTGGAACTCGATTCTATAAAGCAAGTATCCATGAGTCTGAGAGGGAAAAAAAACTTGCCAAATGAGCAACAACATTTCATCCTTGCGGTTTATAGAGATGCTGTTAAATGGGAACATTTCTAAAGCTGCATATACGAGTATATTCTCTTACAAATACACTTGGCACAGGTGTGGATCTCACTGATTCACCACCAGAAAACATACATATAACTTCTGTCATCCTCAGAAATGGTCAAGTCTTAACTTACAGAGTCACTCACCCTGATCATTGTATCGAGATAGATCACTCTGGCTGATGTAGAGGTCATGGTCACTATCTAGTTCCCAGAATTTACAATAAATAACATAGAAATGTTCATAGGAGAAGTAATCTGTGATTTGGTTTATATCTTCTTCTTCTTCCAAAAGGGCTAGAGTCTGAAATGGTAGGAAGAAAACAATTAATTTATGAAAACCTACCTATGACCATTGTATATAGTCTAGCAAAAGTTTTGTATAAAGGGAATTAAAATTTTTGATTTGGGTACCAAATCAGGAACTTGAGTAAGTGACCTACTTAACCAACTGACGAATCAATAAGCATTTACTAAGTTCTGTAAGAGGTTAGAGGCTGCAAGGGTACACGAGCAGAGGGAAGGAAGAACCATCACCAAGGGGCCCACAGCTGTTCAGATGTTTACTGACCAGCAAGCCCAGAACAGTCAGGTAGCAGCTAAGCTACATGGCCACAAACTAACATTGCACTTAAAGTTTCAGTTATGTGAGCATGATATTATAAACAGTGGGCATTCTGATATAGAATTTGATTTTCAGAATTAAATTAAATTTACTATAAAGGTTGGTCAGACATATGAGGGGGTGTCAAAAAGTTTGAGGGGAAATGCCACTAATTTAATTTTATTTCCAGTTTTCCACGAACTTTTGAAGTTTCATTAGATGCATGTGATTGTGATGATACATGGTGGCATGGTATGGAAGCACAGGGGGTAGAGCCATCAGGCTCTGAACTGGAAGTGCACCTGGTCTCCCTCACCTCACCGTGCTCTTAGGAAAATCACCAGAACAAATACTATTCAACTAGAATGCTATGATCAACCAAATGAACACATATGAAGGGGTACCCAAAAAACCTGGAATTTTTTTTCCAAAGTGTATTAGACTGGGTTGACTAGAGAAACAAATTTATTGACACTCATATATGTGTAAGAACTTTATATCAATAAGTAATTATGCATCGATAAAACATCCCAGCCCCAGGCTTCAACCCGGTGTGCCAAGACATGAATACAATATACCAGCATGTAGCAGGGAACCAATAGAGAGGTCTATGGGGCTGGCCGTAATCCCAACTACTTGCCACCATCCCGCATCCCCCACCTTGAATAATGCACTTCAGAGGACAGCACTGAAACTACAGGCCCGGGAGAAAGGCACATCAGATCAGAGCACATAGGAGCAAATGAAGAGGGAAGTAGAGAGAGTGGATCACATCCTGGCCCACCACATGCCATGGGTGATATTCCTGCTTAGAGCAGCCCATGCACAGAGAGGATCATAGGGTCAGCCCCACCAAGAGACATGATGTCCCTCGCTGACCCATAGCGCTACGGAGACAACACTGGAGACACAGTGTGGGAATTATGCCCAATCTAACCGCATGGCACTGGGGTGAAACACTAAGGGCATGCAACAGAGCAGCAAGGGAACAAAGCAATGAAGTTCTCGGGGAATTCCAAAAATAGACTTTGGGGCCGTGGCACCCCATCAGACTCAACTGGAAAACACTCCTAAAGGTCAACAAGCAGACCTGGAACTTTTATAGGCTTTTCCTTTTTTGTCCTTGGTATTTTGTTGTTGTTGTTACTTGTTTTTTTGTTTTGTTTTGTCTTCCTTTGTTGTTTTGTTTGGCTTTGCCTTATTTTTGCACTTATTATTGTCTCTGCATGTCTATCTAGATAAGATATGCAGGATAAACAATTCAGAGGAGAGAAAACAAGAGGACCGATGGTTCCAGGGGGACACGGGAGAGTGTCAACCAACCCAGGGACAAGGGAACACGTGATCTAAAATTGATGGCGAGAAGGGTGTAGGACGCCTGGTGAGGCTTAATCAAGGGCAATGTAACAGAGAGGAATTACTGAAACCCCAATGAAGATCGAACATGATAGTGGGACTACAGGAAAGTAAAAGGACATATAGAAAAGAACTAGGAGGCAAAGGACATTTATAGATGTCTAAATACAGGTATGGACATATGTAAATATATTTATATATAACTGTAGGGAAATAGATCTATGTACATATGCTTATATGTTAAGTATTAAGGTAGCAGACGGACGTTGGGCCTCTACTCAAGTACTCCCTCAATGCAAGAACACTTTGTTCTAATAACTTGTCATTCCATGATGCTGAGCTTCCTGACATGGTCGCTGAAGACAAAATGGGTGCATAAGCAAATGTGGTGAAGAAAGTTGATGGTACTCGACTATCAAAAGATATATAGTGTCTGGGGTGTAAAAGGTTTGAAGATAAACAAGCGGCCATCTCGCTGAGAAGAAACAAAGAAGCACACCAGCCTGTGTGATCGTGAGGTGTCAATGGGATCAGGTGTCAGGCATCTAAGACCCAGAACAAAAACTCATATCAATGTGAATGAGGGGGTGCATGGAGTGGAGACCCAAAGCCCATCTGTAGAAAATTGGACATCCTCTTACTGAAGGGTAACAAGGAAGAGATGAACCTGTCAGGGTGTGGTGTAGCAGTGATGAAACATACAACTTTCCTCTAGTTCTTTAATCCTACTCCACCCCCCCACCCCATCCTGACCTCAATTCTACCTTACAAATCTGACTAGACCAGAGCATGTACACTCCTACAGATAAGAGCTCCCAACACAGGGATTCCAGGACTGATAAACCCCTCTGGACCAATAATGAGAGTAGTGATACCAGGAGGGGAAGGGGAAGATGGGGGGAGATAGACAACAGAAAAGTGGAGAAGGGAGACATCTGTCAGTGTAAGACACGAAGAATAACAATAATTTATAAATTATCAGGGTTCAAGAGGGAGGGAGGGTGGGTCATGGGGGAAATGAGGAGCTGATGCCAAGGGCTCAAGTAGAAAGAAAATATTTTGAAAATGATGATGACAACATATGCATAAATGTGCTTGACACAATGGATGTATGTATGGATTGTGATACGAGCTGTAAGAGCCCCCAATAAAATAATTAAAAAAACAACAACACTCCCGCTCAGTCCAGAGCAAGTTCATAAGTTTTATATTAGCCCGTAAGTCTGATATTAGCCATGAATTCCTCTTCAGACTCATGGAGCACATATAATGATGTTGAATGCAGTAAGATCATAGGATGAGTCCTATGGATCCAATGGCAGTGGATGCATCTCCAGGATTCTGACTGCTATCGGTGTGGCTCTGTATGATTTGTCAACAGGAAGGCGTGGCAGAGACAGAGAGAGAATGTGGCCCTCCTGTTCTGGTGGCAGAATCAAGAGAGGAAGTTCCCAGAATCCTCATGATAACGCTACTCCCACAAGAAGCAATAATCAAGCAGTGAGCTGATTGATAGGCTAGACTCCACCCCTTCATCCTTTTATCAAGTTGACATGAAATTGTGTAACTCAAACACAAAACTATGTATTAAATTTTTTTTTTTTACAAAACTTAATTACCCTCAATGTACTTTCCATTACACTTAATACATCTGTCAAATCTGAGAAAACATTCTTGGAAACATTTTTCAAACTCATCTATTTGGATGGCTGACAGCTTGTCCTTCGTTTTTTTTTTTTCTTCACTTCTTCTATGGTTGTCAAATCTCTGTCCTTTCATGTCCTTCATTCACGGAAACAAAAAGAAGCTACACAGAGCGAGGTCTGGTAAATAAGGTACATGGGGCAAGAGAGGCATACTGTTTTGCCCCAAACTGGGGCACTGAGATGGTGCATTGTCGTGGTGGCAAAACCAGTCCCCCATCTGCCACAAATCAGGCCTTTTTTGGGGGTCACACACATCTTTTCAGAACCTCTAAATAGAAAGCTTGATTAGGTGTCTGACCTGGTGGAACAAGCTCCAAATGTACTATGAGTTGACATTTTCATCTGTTTGGGAAGTTGACGGATATCCAGAATGAGGTTTGTCATCAATTGATACTCATACACTTGCGTTTTTCCCATAGCACTGTTCTTGTAAGGTATGTTCAATACCACAGCAGTTTCTGCTACATTTTTCCCAAGCAGGAAACAATTTCACAGTGGCATACTGTTTTCTTAAATCAGCCTACTGTTTTCTTAAATCAGCCATCACAAAAATAAACAGGTTTGAGCGGAACTGTTTTTATGAAAAAATTCACTGTGACCAGAGAGAAGCTGCCCAGGCAATGCCACTGGGTGCACTAACTCAGAGTGAGTTGCTTGATGCTTGCCTAGCGGGAAAAATGTGTATTATAAAAGCTCCACTAGGTGGAGCTTTTTCATTTTTGGGGGGTGGTAAGGGTGGGTGGGGTGGCTGATAAATGAAGACATTTTCTAAAATCAAAGATTCATAAAGAAAATGAAAATAAACCATAAAGCAGCTTAGGAAGCAGAAAAAAATGATAGAAATAATATCAGATACATCCATTAGCACAATACAGGTGAATGAGTTAAATTCCATATTGAAAGACTTTCAAATTGAGTATGAAAACTGAACCCAAAACTCAGATCTAGATATATGCTGTATATAGGCGCTAAACCTCAAAAGATTAAAAATAAAAATGAAAAAGATGGACAAATATATACTAACCCCAAACAATGACAAATCTGTCAAACACCTTAAGACATGGACAAAGTTAGAGCTTATTATGCTTAGCAAAGTCAGTCAATCTCATAAAGATTTTTATAACATCATTATTATGAAGGAAAATGAAAAAGAAAAGAGCTTCTTACAACAAAGGACAAGACTTTCAAGACTGCGAGGCCAAGGTTGGAGGTTGGGGTAGAGGGTGGGGGAAGGAAAGGGATAGGAAACTATGGAGGGAGTGGAGGTGGGAAAATAAAAGAAAAAAGACAAACCAAGCAAATGCAATAACAAAATAATACATATGTCAATATCAATAGAAAATAAAAATTTAAGGTGAAAAACTTTTTAAGAGACAAAGGGTTATTTCATTATACAAATTTATTACACCGATAAAAAATTATTTAAGAATGGAAAACCACACTGCTTTGCAAACTGAAAAAGATGACCAAATTATGGTAAATATACCCGATGGAATATTTTTCAGTTAGAAAAATTATATAAAGTTTATACAGAAACAAGGAAAAATCATGATGTGGGAAGTACAAAGTATATAATACTGTACCATTAAGGTAAAAATCCAAAACCCTTATTTGTGCATGAAGGAGAGTAGGAGAACATATGCAAAGATGATAGTAATTGTACTAGGGTGGTAAAGTATATTTTTTCTTGTTTCTCAAACTTGAGTGTACATTTTTCTTTTACAAAATGGCCTCTATCTCGGGGAGGAGACCAGCCAGTCAGGGAGCGATGCAGCAACGATGAAAAATAAAACTTTCCTTGGGTTCCTAAATGTTTCCTCCCCGCCCCCACTATCATGATCCAAATTCTACCTTGCAAGTCTGGCTAGACCAGAGGATGTACACTGGTACAGATAGGAACTGGAAACACAGGGAATCCAGCGCGGATGATCCCTTCAGGACCAGTGGTGTGAGTGGCGATACTGGGAGGATAGAGTGAGAGTGGGTTGGAAAGAGGGAACCGATTAAAAGGAACTATATGTGACCCCCTCCCTGGGGGACAGACAACAGAAAAGTGGGTGAAGGGAGATGTCGGACAGGCAAGATATGACAAAATAATAATTTATAAATTATCAAGGGCTCATGAGGGAGGGGGGAGCGGGGAGGGAGGGGAAAAATGAAGACCTAATGCCCCGGGGGCTTAAGTGGAGTGGAAATGTTTCGAGAATGATTAGGGCAACGAATGTACAAATGTGCTTTACACAATTGATGTATATATGGATTTGTGATAAGAGTTGTATGAGCCCCTAATAAAACGATTGAAAAAAAAAAGGCCTTTGAAGTGTATAAAGTGGCATACTTTTAATAAAATAAATCCCGAGAAAGCAAGGTGCTACCATTTCCACCACGAGTCAGCCTAAAAAGGAGCCTTGGTTACGAGCATGGGTTATGAGCGGGACTGCTAACTGCAAAGCCAGAAGTTTGAACCCACCCGTCACTCTACTGGAGAAAGATGAAGCTTCTGTTCTTATAAAGATTTAAAGCCTCAGAACCCAAAGGGTCAGTCTCACTGTGGCCATGACTTAGAACTGACTCGATGGCAGTGAGATGAGCTGGGCTGGCATAGAATGAAAAATAGGCATAACTGATTATAAAATAAAAATGAAAACCATGAACAGATATCTGCCAACCCCAAACAATGATGAGTCTGTCAAACACCTAAGACATGGACCAAATTAGAGCATCTAATGCTTAGCAAAGTCAGTCAATCTCATAAAGATATTTTGTAACTTCATTATTATAAAGGAAAATGAAAAAGAAAAGTGGTTTTTACACCAAAGGAAAGTGTTGTTAAGGATATAAGTGGAAATATGAATTAGTATAGCCTTTCAGAAAGGCCACTTGGATCTAACAAACTGAAATGTACATATGATTTGAATCCTGATTTCTGCCTGACTGTCTATTCTAGAGACATTGTTACTCATGTGCATATTAAAGGAAAATACAAGGATGTTCACTAAATTATTGTTCATTAAATCATGCAATGGAATATTATGCAGTCGTTTAAAAAATGAGATAGATTTATGTGATTCAAGTAGAACAATACATATTTTTAAGTAAAAAACCCCTGCAAGTTTAAAAGAATAGTATGACTCCAAATAAAAAAAATCTATAAAACAAAAACACAAAATGAAACTATATTCTCAGTACACATTCAACATACTTAATGGAATAAAACCGCAGATAATATGGGTTTACTCTTGGAAAAGGCGTGGAATAGTAGGATGGGGAGATAAAGACTTCTGCTTCTTACGGTAGATGTGTTCAGACTATTTGAGCATTTTGTGAGCATGTATTCATGTACTAAGAGGAAGACTAAGGAGAAAGGTAGAGAGGGAACCATAGAAGAAACTAAATCATGCTTTAAGAAGCAGAACACTTGAATATTACTTCTAGTCCAGTAACTTACTTGTTGTATGGTCTTATTTAAGTCCCATTTTTGTGCCTCAAATTTCATCATCAGAAAAATAATATGTATAATAATAATGATTCAGAAACTCTAATGTGCCTCAGGGGTGTAAGGGGTTATTATTATCAGTTAACGTGTGAACTCAATCACTACCTTTTAGTCAATGCTGATTCACAGCCACCAGCTTCTTTAATGAAATTACTATCCTAACCTGTCCCATAACTACTGAGAAACCAAACAGGCATCAGGTGTTCAATAACTATTAACAATGATTGTGATGATGACTGTTATATTTAGAATAAAAATGTTTGTATATGTCCATCATGGATAGCTAATTTTTCCAAATCTTTATCATCTCAGCTGAAGACAGAGAGGGAGAGAGGAAAAAACAAAGGTAAACAAGGTACTATTGAGAATAGGTCTACTTTTTTTTGGTTTATAGATACTTAATCAGGCATGAAAGCAAATTCAATGAAAGGCTCCCACAGTGGGCAATACTTTTTAATCTCTCATTTGATAAAATAAATTAAATAATGGAATGAAACTTAATTTTCATACGAGGAAATGTGAGCATTTTCCTTCAGCAGGTGCTAGATAAGAGTCATTGCTGAAAGGATCAATTCCAAATGCTTGGAAGCATTTCTTCTGCAAGGCTTTCTTCAACCTGGCCCTAGAGCATCCTTCCAGCCTCATCTGGGGTCACTCTCTTGTGAAGCCTGCTCTTTGGCCCTGAAGACTACTTTTCAGTTTCATAAGATAATGATTGCACGCTCCTGTGACTTTGTTTATCCTGCTTCTTTTAGCTGGACTCCCCCTTCCTTGCAATATTTATCTCAGTAACTTCTCAATATCTGCCAAGGCCAAGGTCACTGGGAGTTCTTCAGTGAAGCATTTACACTGCAATCTTTACACATCTCTGCAGAATTTCCCAAGCCTGGAATGGCTCAGAGCCTTCTTTCCTTGGGTCCACAGTCCATAGCAATTTATCTTTATCTGAGTAACTCACCCCAGGGTCTTTAAATAGTGGATAAATACTTAATGACTGAAGATACCAATAGTGCTCTGCGTACAGTGAACATGCAAATATCCCTTAAATGATGTAAATAACAATATTATTTAAATTGCTCTTTCTATTTGAGTTCCAAGGTGAGGCATACTTGCAAAAAGTTGCTCTTTCTTATCTCTGTTGAAGTGATTTTTCCACTCCATGATCTGTTGACTGTGTAGAATATTCTTTGAATAACCTGGTTCCAAAGCAAAAACAAAACCAAGTAAAAACATTGAAGACATTGCGCAGTAGAGGACATTCTTAATCCTTATTTCAAATATAAAATGTTCCACATTTCACCCACAAGTGTGATGTTCACCATAGTTTCTTGCTGTCACTTTTGATTAAGAGGTTCTTCCTCTGGTGTTAACAAACCCAGGACAAGGGAACAACAAGTAATCCAAATCGGTGGTGAGGAGGGTGTGGGAGGCCTGGTAGGGTGTGATCAAGGGTAATGTAACCGAGAGGAAATACTGAAACTTGAATGAAGGCTGAGCATGATAGTGGGACAAGAGGAAAGTAAAAAGAAATAGAGGAAAGAGCTAAAAGGCAAATGGCATTTATAGAGGTGTAAATAAAGGCATGTACATATGTAAATATATTTATATATGAGGATGGGGAAATAGATTTATGTGCATGTATTTATAAGTTTAGTATGAAGGTAGCAGATGGACATTGAGCCTCGACTCAAGTACTCCCTCAATGCAAGAATACTTTGTTCTATTAAACTGGCATTCCACGATGCTCACCTTCCTAACACGATCGCTGAAGACAAAGCAGGTACATAAGCAAATGTGGTGAAGAAAGCTGATGGAGCCCGGCTATCAAAAGATATAGTGCCTGGGGTCTTAAAGGCTTGAAGGTAAACAAGCGGCCACCTAGCTCAGAAGCAACAAAGCCCACATGGAAGAAGCCCACCAGCCTGCGCGATCACGAGGTGTCTAAGGAATCAGGTATCAGACATCAAAGAACAAAAAATCCTCATTGTGACTGAGGGGGAGTGCGGAGTGGGGACCCAAAGCCCATCTGCAGGCAACTGGACATCCACTTACGGAAGAGTCGCGGGGAGGAGACGAGTCAGTCAGGGTGCAGTGTAGCAACAATGAAACATTCAACTTTCCTCTAGTTCCTTCCCTCCACTATCATGATCCCAATCCTAACTTACAAACCTGGTTAGACCAGAGCATGTACAGTGGTGCAGATAGGAACTGGAAACACAGGGACTCCAGGATGGATAATCCCTTCAGGACCAGTCGTGAGAGTGGCGATACCAGGAGGGTGGAGGGAAGGTGGGGTGGAAAGGGGAACTGATTATAAGGATCTACATATAACCTCCTTCCTGGGGGACAGACAACAGAAAAGTGGGTGAAGGGAGAAGTTGGACAGTGTAAGATAAGACAAAATAATAATTTATACATTATCAAGGGGTACATGAGGAAGTGGGGAGTGGGGAGGGAGGGGGAAAAATGAAGAGCCGATGCCAAGGGAATAAGTGGAAAGCAAAGGTTTTGAGAAGATAACAGCAACGAATGTACAAATGTGCTTTACACAATTGATGTTTGCATGGACTGTGATAAGAGTTGCATGAGCCTCCAATAAAATGATTAAAAAAAAAAAAGAAAAGAAAACCAATGATCAAGAAATAAATAAATGAAAAAAGGGGGAAAAGTTCTTCCTCCATAAACTTGCCAAGAGTTTTTCTTTTTAAATAATAAATGCTAATTTTATCCAAAATTTTTACACATATTGAGTTATTTAGATTATTTGTTCTCCTTCAATCTGTTAATATGAAAAATTATTGTGATTTTCTAATGTTAAATAAACTTTGTATTGTTAGAATAAATGTGCCAATTGGACCAATAGGAGCATGTGGGCGGAGTTTCACTGGGGGACTATTGAAATAAATAAAGACAGGTGGCATTCCCATCTCTCTCTTGCTCCCTGGTGATCGGCCCAGATAGTTCTCCGCCTCAACCTGTGAGCTATACTACCTGTGAGCCAAGCCAACCCAGGGATTGTGTAGCTAGAGCTTGAGGATCCTTTGAGACATTCTTCACCACACTGCTGGTGAATTCACGGCTGGAGAATGAGGCTGGTGGATCTTGTCACCGTGCTTGAATGGAGATCCCATGGGGCCTGCCAACTTCACTGAGATACCCGAGCTACTGACTGTTGCGGACCCACCCTGCTGTCTGCTGCCTTGACTGAGGGAAGACTCTGTTGACTGCCTCCTTGACCTTGGATTCGGCAGCCCACATGAGTTGAAGGACTTCCAGTATATTAACTGTTCCATGAAAGTGAGTTAAACTGAGCCTCTGTACTGTGTGGACTAATCAGCTGTTGTATTCCTTCTTGCTGTATAAATCTATCTATCTACCTATAAAATCGTAAGTATCCTGATTTTGTTTCTCTAAAGAACTCTGCCTAACACAAAATGCAAATTGGTAGGTAATATTATATGTTTATATATAAGCTACTGAACAATATTTTAGATATCTTAGTGCAGTAAGGCAAGTAGAAATATATATATACACATATGCATTATAAAGAAAAACATAAGCATAGATGATATAATTATGTTAAATAGAAAATGCAAAAGAATGTATAAATTAAATACTAGAGTCCATAAGTGAACTTAGTAATGTTCTGGATATACAGAAGCCAGTACTTCTAAAATCTATTTTATTCTATATACCACTAACAAGTTAAAATGAAAAAGAAAACCAAACTATTAAGATTATTACCTTACCAAAGGCCATCTCAAAGTACTTTGAGCCATGTTACGTTTTGGCTTTTTGATTATGCCAATTATAAGTAACAGTTATAAAAATTAATATTATATTTTGAATCTACTTCTATAAGATACTGAATCCACCAGTGTTGTTCTCTATTCACAGGTCTGTATTTCCCAGCTACATCGCTTCTTTTGTTTTCCTCTCATCATGTACAGTGAGGCAGTGTTTCTTGGGCTGGAGATATCAGGAAGGCAAACAGGGTAGAACTTATCTGGTGGGTTGGTGTAACAATTAATCACTTTGGAGGATGGAGCATTGTTTTGTAACTATAGCTTTATTCTTGAGTCTTTAAGACTTCTAGATCTCTCTAAGGAAACTCAACTACATCCTGGTATTGTTATGTCTGTCCTAAGCCTCGTTTGCCACAAGCATACAACCCCTTTATCCTTGGTGGTCGTGTCATAAAAGAGATTAGACTTACATTTTATTTTATTATTCTGACAAAAGCTATTTTGGTGCAAGAAGAACGAAGAAAGAATGCCATTTGGACATCTTTACAAACAGTAGGCTTAGGGAGGGACTAAACAACCATGCTACTTTTGACTTCCTGAGCAAAGAAGGCTTCTTAAATAGAACAAGGAGAGACTGAAGGTCTGGAACCTCTGCTGCCCAGACTGCCCACACCTGCCTACCGCCCTAATTCCTTCTTGCCCTCTACCACACAGGAAGTCTTGGGACAGGGAAGGGGACGGAGTGCTGCCTCTTAGGCTCTCATTGCCCCCTGACTCCTCCAGACCTTTGTCCTTCTGCTGGCTACATTCAACCACGGGCCACCTCCAAACACTCATAGACCAAGTTTTACTTCCATCCCAGTTGATGCCTTGAATATATCAACTAGTCAATTATTTCTTGATAAACCAATGAGGTTTGGATGCTATTAAAGATTTTTATTTTATCTTTGTGATGGAGATATATGAGTTGGACTCATAGCTAGGTCAACAATTCTCCTACAGATCTGGGGCTTTTTGTGAAACGGAGTAATTGAGGTATCATCTGCAGAATCAGAAGGAGTCAGCACTGAGGACAAAAGGGTAGTGGAGAATACTGGGCAGAAGTCTGGACCTTCACATCGATGCTAATTTCCCCCTCTTTTGTACAAGAATCTCACTCTGCTAAAGAACCCCAAACAGAATCGTAGTTGTTCTTCATTAGCCTTACTGTTTGAAAAGATGTCAAAATGCTTTCCTTCTTTGTTCTTGGAGAACAGATGAAAACCCATCCAGAAATGATTTCTAATTAGTATTTCACATGTCAGAATTTCTATGAGTTATAGATAGAAAGCATATAAAATGTGCAGAAAACATGGAGGAGTAACTATATGAAAAAATTGTGAGAGGTTCCGTGAGAGCTACCATCTTGCTTAGTTTTGAATCCTCAGTGTTTAGTAAATAGCTAACAAACGTTTTCCAAATAAATGATAGCAGCAGTAGTACTAATAGATGATGGTAAGTGACAAGTTTGAAAGTTTGACAAGTACATGCCAAGTCTTGGTTTTAGATTTAACAGTCAAAATCACAAGGACAAGCGTGAAGAAGGAACTGCCAGAAGTTCAAATGCAAATGATGAAGGTTTTTTAGTTGTTATAAATTTAACTTGAGCCCCAAATGAACTGCAAGCAAGCAAGCTAAGGAAATTTTAGTGAAATACAAACAGAGTGATTCAGTCAGGGCATGATTATGTTCAATTCTAAGTGCCATACTTTGTCAGACACACTGATCAATTTGAATATGTTTGGGCAGCAAAATATTGATGGGTCTTGAAATGAAATTATTATAACTAAATCATATCAGGAATAGTTTAAGAACTCATTATATAGCAGTGGTTAGTCTTGAGTGAAAAATTAAAGGGTAGATATAATCAGGAGCTGCACGGCTTGCTACTGAGTGACCAAAGTAGACTTAGCAGTGCGGCACAAGAGGGCAGAATTGGAACTCCTGGACCGAATGCCCTTATCCTGAAATGCTTCCATTATAAGGGAGACTTTCTTTAAAATGGTCCCATGAAGTTACAGGTAGTGTGAAGTAGTGGGGTTTCTTTTCACCACATATGTTTAGACAGAAGTGGACAGGATTCTTGCATTTAATGGGAGCCAGGATAAGCTGGTGCCTAATGTCTCTACTGGCTCCAACCACTTACTGTGAGTTTTTGAGGCAGAGAATGTGTCTTAATTAACATTATATTCTTAGCCCTAGCTTGATAGAAATTCATATAAAAAGGATAGAAGACTTTTAATGTAGAAATTATATCTGAAAAGGTATATGAAAGTAACATTAAGAATATCACTATTATTATTCTATTCCCCAGCTAAAATAAATTTCAATATGCAATACCAGTTTTTGATTTTTTAAGTATTGATAGGTTTTGTCCATATTTCTTGATTTTGAATGTAAATTTATTTTAA